CGAAATGAGGCGCCATATTGTGACGAAGTAAAAAAAATAAGTTGACAAAATATGTCGAGTGGGGTATCACTGTCTAGATAATTAAAAATCATATGTAGGTTCCTAACACCATTTTTCATTTTATATGATTTTTTAGGATCTACAACTTTTTAAAGTTGTATATTAACCACTTACGCTTTTAATTTCAATCTTACGTTCTGTATGGATCTTTGTTACTCTTTCACCTAAAAAATACTGAATGGAGTTTAATGAAACTTAACAGTAATATAGCTCATATATGATAATTACATATATATAATAATTTATGTAGTTATTGAGTGAATTGGCTAATATATAACAATATGTGTCACATAAGACGGGAAAAAATCTCCCATCTGCGAGCCATTTTGGCCTGCACTGCAAAAACAATAAAAGTTACATGAATGTAATGTAGAGTGAAAATGTATCCCTTAAATAGTTCTAAAAAAAAGTCCATGACACCATATATCTATTTTTAATGTGTAAGTCATTACCGCTAAAATAGTGAATCAAAACTAAAATATTATTTGATATCTATTTCCAAAATGCACATTTTGTATTAACAAATCATTTTTTATCAAAACAAATACTTTTATCGCTTTTGATATTTAAAGACGATAAACTTTGCTTTTTACACTATGCCATTTCGACAAATATTTAAAAAGTTACAACGATGAATAAGTGACAGCGCGGTGTACTATGTAAAAGAAAAAAAATGGGCTATTCGCAGTATCTGATCCTATACGAAGTACTAACAATAAAACTTTGATACAGTTCCTTCTTATTAAATGATGAAAAATATATTATCATAATAGGTATTTATGATTATTGAATTTCAATGAAAACCTCAGAATTTTACTGTTTTTCATTTTTTTAACGATATTACTTAATGTTACAAAAAAGGTTTACTTAATGTAATGACAAATAACCCATTTTTCGCTAGTAAGTACATACTTATTGGAATCCCTGTATTTATTAATCAGCTCGCGATAATATTGGTTTTTTAATAATTCTGTAAAATTCAAAGTAAATAATGTAGATTTTTAAAGGTAAATCACCCCTTTCATCACCCTACGCCTATAAGTATTGCGATGTTGTAGCTAAGAACCAAGTTCCCATCTACTTCTATATGGGAATTCATTATATTCGATTTAGCTATTAGGGCACGGAAGCGCAACAAACAAAGTCAATTTCGCATCTATAATATTATAGTATAGATAGTCAGGATAACATAAGTATTTAATTGATGAAAAAGATTTAAAAATAAAATAAGTAATAGGTTTATTTGATTATATTTGTAAAAGTTACTTAGCATTTATGATTAACAGTGATAGGTTTTTCGGTATTTTGTTTAAACAAAGAAAATTGGGGAAAATAATTGCCATGATTGCACTACTGGGAGTACTCTTCATTCGAGCTTTACACTACCAATAATAAAAAGGGTCGATCACAGAGTCTTTGACCTGTTATATGTGAACGCTTTAAAAGAAAACTACAAAGAGAACTATAAATTGATAATAAATGAGATTGCTATGGTGTTGTACCTAACGTTATGAAAATTTTATTATGCGCCTTTAGTTTAATCAAATATTATAAACTTTGCTTTGGTGATTGCATAATTATTTAATTTAGTGATCTAAGGCAGTTGCCACTATTGTCCAAAACAACAAACGTGAATTACTGCTTTCTTCAACCTGCGACATAAACGTCATTGATTGGTATTGTATATAGGGTGATTAAAAACATTTGAAGTTAACTTCTGGCATCTACATATTGGGTTTCTGTGAATTATGTAGGTATATCAAATTATGAGACTAGGCACTGACACTGCATTTGTGTATATCACAATCTTAGACGTCCAGCATTGACATGACAATGCAGCCACTGCCAATTTTAAATAGTCGACGAATAAAAGTAAATGAATTTTATATTTACTGCTAAACTATTAAAAAAAACATAAACAAAAGATGATTTTTTGAGTAAGTGCTAATTTACTATAAAATTTACATACATTAGAGATATTTATGTAACGACTTGATTTAACTTCACACATTTTTGCGAAAATTGAGGCCCATCTGTAGCCTTGACCCCGCTGGTAAAAGTCTCTATATGTCTTAATAAATCAATCTTTTAGACCGACGTAAGGTACTTAATAATTCCCGCGATATTAATTCCCTTACTGAAGTAACAAGTCTACGGTATACACCGTCTTAAAATACTAACTGACTAAAAAGTGTGAAATAAAAAAGGTAAATTTAAAAAATCAAAAAACCCGGCTGCTTTATTATACTTCAAATAAAAACTGAAAAGAAAAAAACAAGTCCAGTAGTCTATAATTCTGTTAATAAGGAACAAAGCTACTTTAACAGTCGGGACCCACTCTTGAAAAATATTATGTATTCTTGAATATCCTACCTAACCAAGTTTTTCCTAATAGTTATTCTTTAAAATCGCACCGAATAAAATGAATTAGTTGTAATATTAATTCACTTCATACTGAGTTCATACTAAGTTCATAGGTTGACCTATGTTTCATTGAATATTAAACATAACCTCAAAAATATTTTAGTTTTCCTAATAATTTAAGTTCTCAGAAGTGTCCGTCAATAATATTTGTTTTTACAGTCATTTACTTGCGATTTCGAACCTAGAAAATAATATTTCATGATTGTTGGTTCTTAGGCTAACTATGTATGGACGCAGAACAATGTCCTTTATATAAAATTAATAGTAGATTGTTGCATCGAGCACAAAGAGAGTTATTAATGCACATGCACGAGTGTAATGATGGAGACTAAATTAACAAAGCTCACTTTAGCAAGTTGCGTAATCTCCTTTTCTTTCAACTACCATTCGGTTATGTAGTGATTAATAAATGATAACATTACTAAGTAGTTGAAAGAAAAGTAAATTGTATCATTCCAAAACCAATTGAATTGATCTGACCAATAACTAAGTATCATAAAATGGTATCATCATCTGATGATGAAACCATATTAGATACGACATTATAGGCTGATGCATATAATGTCCCGACTGCTGGGGCACAGGCCTTCCCTATGGATGGAGGAAGATTGGGGAGGGAGCACCCACCCCGCGGGCCAAGTGTGGATTGGTATGGTGGATATAATGGTATGAATATATTTATATATAAAACTAAAGTTAACGCTCGGCGAAGTCCCAGGTTATCGCATCAAATAATATAAAAAAAAAGTTTAGCTAATAATCCAGGACAAAAAGTATTATAGTGTTAAGTGTGTGCCAAACCTTTCGTCGTTTTCCGTGATTGAATAAAGAATACCTAAAATACACGATTCCACGAACTTTACACGATTAGGTTTGGTCAATCATCTAAACATTTTTCTAAACCAACTACGAAAATATTTATTTATTATATTTTTCCAAAATTGTTAAAAATAATCTATTTTATCTATCTAATATGTAAAATTCTCGTGTCACGGTCTGCTTAATTGAACTACTCCGAAACGGCTCGACCGGTTTTCGTGAAATTTTATATGCATATTCAGTGGGTCTGAGATTCGGCCATCTATTTTTCATCCCACAAAATGTTAAGGGTAGTCCACACTTTTTGACCAAATATTTTGTTTTTATTTTTTTATGATACATAATACAAAAATACATACAACCCTCAATGTTCACCCTTCTAGCATCAACCCCTATTTTTTTAAGGCGGTACGAAGTTCGCTGGGACAGCTAGTTTTCATATAAAAATGTTAGGGAAACCTGTTAGGAAAGAGTGAAACAAATCTTACTTCGTAGTCGGTTAAGAAAAACTATTAAGATGAATATGGACGAAAGGGAACTTGGTTTTTGGCAGCTCCACGGCAAGGAGATACAGAAATGCAAACCTCTGTGTCGTATCGTATCTTCGACTATAACTGGACTCCAAACTTAACATCAAGTGGGGTGGGGTAATTTGCTGAGCCTGGTGTTTTCCGTACTTAGGATCGCATTATATGTAAGATATTCTTTACACCTGAACTGTTATTAATTCTAGTGCTATTGTTAGTAATCCAGGTAATCAGAACTGAATTCTATACATCTTTGTACTTTCCTACAGGTTAGCATACTGTTTCAGGTTGCCCTTGGTTTGAGGTACAGTAACATTATTGATTGGGCTGTTAATTCACAGTTCCATTTTAGTTAATTATAAGTTGTTATTGTAGCAATATTTTCTTATATCTAGAATTTATTAATTTATCATGTGCACGACTTGATCGTTATTAAAGGGCGTACGGTGATTGTAACGTTGCCCTTTTGATATTAAACGTGCGGTCTGAGTTCCATCGACGCAGTCATATTCGCCGGTTGGCTGATCAAAGCGCTATGCGTGTGGGGGATGATAAGACCGACACACTTTAATATTAGTGCACTTTCTTGAGCACATACCTACGTACCTACTAAAAAGTACATGCTTGCAATTCAATAAAAATCTATGACAACTTTTTAAGTTGTTTAATTAATAATCAGTTAAAAATGATCTAGTGATACTGTAAACATAAGTTAAATAATGTGTTAAATCCGTACTACTGCTGGGAGTAAACTTCCAAATGTTCGTTCTAATCTGCTTCCTAATAAGAGTCAAGCGGCCGTGACAATACATCTGATATATAAAATTTTCGTGTCACGGTGTGAGTAATTGAACTACTGCGAAACGGATCGATCGTTTTTTGTAAAATTTTATATGGATATTCAGTAGGTCTGAGAATCGGGCAATATCTATTTTTCATCCCCCTAAATGTTAAGGGTGGTCCACACTTTTTGACCAAATATTTTGTTTTTATTTTTTTATGATACATAATACAAAAATACATACAACCCTCAATGTTCACCCTTCTAGCACCAACCCCTATTTTTTTTTAAGGCGGTATGAAGTTCGCTGGGTCAGCTAGTATTATATACTATTCAATGTTTAGGTAAGTCAAATGTATTACTTTTATATCCTAATTAGGGGAAAAACAATTGGATTATTCAATATTGCTATATTTAGATTGTCAAAGAAACATTGTTTAGCGCATTTCAACATTAGTAAGGCCACTTTCTTTTCCTAGTTAAGAAGTCACTGCTGACGTTGCGGTTTTCTAACACTGTGAGGGAGTATATGATATTGCTGATACAACGCAAAAATGGGATATTTGCGTTTGTCAGATCTGCAAGACGCGGCGCGGGATCCACCCCCTTGAATCTCAGAAATAGTGCCGTCGCAATAACACACCCAGCCACGAGATGCAACGCACTCAGTGTTCCCAGATCTGCAAATTATCATCATTATCAGCCTATTAATATCCCACCTGCTGGTGCAGAGGCCTTCCTTATGGATGAAGATTAAGCTGTGACCCGACACGTGGGACTAGTGTGGATTTGTAGGGTCTGCAAATGCAGCCGGGACCAATGGTTTAGCATGCCTTCCGAAGCATAGAGGAGTATAATAAGTTAGTCGATATAATAATTTTTTGGTCATCAATCAACGACCGACCATTGTGAAAGTTTATCTTCCATTATCGCAGACGGAACGTGCTAACCACCTGCTCCGTCGAGCTCCTCTTGTAAACTATAACATTGTCTTCATTCACATATTTACTGCCAACTCAAATTGATTGCATTAACAAACTTGTAATTTACTTCATTCACCTGCATTATACTGATTTGAATTTATAAATTCATTTAATAATTTCGTTCACTTAATTTATATATACAAATACTTAATAAGAAATATACATTAAATTTGTTTGAATCGGCGGCTGAGTTGAATCTCGGTCGTATCATTATAAATCTATGTTTTCTGCATAGCATGTTTTCTTATTTATTAAATATAAAAACCATAATTTACTTACAGTCTTTTCTCTCATCGATTGGCAAATCATTGACTGTTCGAAGCATTCGTCTGTGCACTGCGTTGAGACGAAACTCGGCGCTGTCCACGATAATGGAAACACCTGGCAACATTTCCTTTGGCATGCCAACTTCCGTCGCGAGCAAGTGCCCTATTTCGACGTTAGTCAATATCGGGATACACCAGTCTGAAATATGATTTATTATAAATAATATACTAAGCTGAATGTGAACATGTGTGTTTATGTAGGGTCAAGTGGGGGACAGTGTAACATAAGGAATACGATTGGACCACGATAACATTGCAGATTCAATAACCTGGTCACAGCAGAAAACTTGGTCTGTCAGGCCTTTTAAAACTTCATTAAAAAATGTAAAAATGATATAAATCCTGTGTTAGGACGATTTATTAATATTGCTGTCAAAAGGTGTCTATACCCAGACGAAATAAAAAAGGGTATTATATAGACCCATAGCTTTATTAAATGTAATAAATAAGATCGTAGAAAAAACCAAAGTAAATCAGATAACAAACTTTCTCGAGGAAAATCAGCTACTAACTAATATTAGGTATGGGTGCCGTATTAAAAGAAGTACAGCCACAGCGCTGTCAAACTCCACACATGATATTAATGGCTATGTTATTGAAGAAAACACTGAGATGGCAGTTTTTATCCACTTTAAAAAAGCTTTTGACACGCTAGATTACGCAGGACTGCTGCAGGCAATGGCAGAGTATGGTATTCGAGGTCCGATGAATAACTGATTCAGGAAATACTTAGTTAATCGATCCCTAAAAGCGAGCGAGTAAGTGCGAAATAGGTAACATCAAATAGAGGTGTGCCAACTGGTTCGGTATACAGCATGGTATTTATTTTTTATTTACAGTCGAAAATTTATTAACTATTGTGAATGTCTAAGTATTGCATAGATTGGACTTGTAGCAGCACACAATAAGGACACAACAACATCCTGAGTTTACTTATATCCAAATATCCAACAAGCATGACAAACATTCGCTTGAGACTATTTATACAGCGAAGTAAATCGCTACATTAAAATAAATATATTTTTTACAAAACGATCTCAAGCATCCCTGCTCCCTCCCAACAATGGCGATTGGCTCTAGAGGTTTTCTAGGCTGAGGGAATCTCCCATTGGGGGCAATTTGCTCTCCGGCGTAGTCACAGGCCACTCGATCCTGAGAGACTTGGCCTTCAAAATCGAGCTGATAATCTTAGATCCTGTTCTGTCCATTTTATGTCCTCATCATTAATATATATAAATATCTTCACAGCATTTTGCTATAGTTCTATAATATGACAATTTATAGTCCAACACAAATTCCTGGGAGTGGTGATACTAAAACTAAAATGCATTATAACAATTTTATTCATCAATGAAAACTGTGTCTCGCGTAGTTTGTCGCGCCAGGGACTCACGACTGATCCACAGCACGCAGCACAGATCCCCTAATCTGTCTAAACATAGTTCAAACAAAACCAAACGGAAGGATGGTAACGTAAAGTTATTAAGTGTGTAACACAAAGGTACACGTATATTGAGTGTTTGGTTTTGACTTTGCTGATGTATGCCTTGCTTTCCTTGATCGGCTGAACATTTATCTGAGTCCATCCTCTTTGCTGTTGGCTTGAGGAATATCCAGAACTAACATTAGTATTGATAGAGGAGTTTCGGTATGGGCACTGACTACCACCGATGAAGTAAGCAAAATAATGATGATCTTAATACAAATAGCAGTTCAGGTATTGATGGTATTAATGCAAAGTCCGTGAAATGTATTAAGAATATTATACTCAAAGATCTTATTGTATGCATAAATAGATGTTTAGAGTTGGGAGACTTTCCTGATACTCTCAAAGTAGCAAAAGTTTCACCAATATATAAAGCAGGGTCTAAAAGCGAACCAGGAAATTACCGTCCTATTTCAGTTTTACCTACGCTATCAAAGGTATTTGAAAGAGTGCTTTATAATAGACTCAATAATTATTTATCTTCAATTAACTTTTTTTATCAAAAGCAATATGGTTTTAGACCAAAATCAAATACTCTTTCGGCAATCATAGATCATGTCACAAAAATCAAAACTAATATCGATCGTAAGAAAATAGCACTTGGAATTTTCATTGATCTGTAAAAAGCATTTGATACGGTTAGCCACTGTCTTCCACTCAATAAACTAAAAAGTATAGGAATTATTGTCAAAGCTTTAGAAATATTTGAATCATATCTCTACCATCCATCTCAGGTAGTAAAAAGTGGTCAGTATGAAAGTAACCAAATGCCAATTGTTTGTGGTGTCCCCCAAGGTTCCATTTTAGGGCCCCTGTTATTTTTAGTTTATATAAATAGCATATAAAGCATTGGCCTTAAAGGTGATATTACTTTGTACGCAGATGACACTAGTTTGTTCTACTTCGGTAATTGTATTGAGAGAGTAATTGCAGATTCACAAAATGATTTACATCTATTGAACGAATGGTTCCAATACAATTTATTAACAATAAACATAATAAAGACAAACTTCGTAATATTTTCAGCTATAAACAAAATAATTAAAAATAATCCGCCCCTAAAAATTAATGGTCAAACCATAAATAGAAAAACAGAAGAAAAATATCTCGGTCTTATTTTAGATAATCACCTAACATGGAAACCGCATATTGTAAAAATTAAAACCACACTTACTCGTCTCACGGGCATTATACGAGGCATAGTCAGATATTTACCATTAAAAGTACGCCATAACATTTATAATAGTTTAATAAAACAACACTTGGATTATTTGATTGAAGTCTGGGGTACAGCAGCAAAGAGTAATATAGACATACTACAGGTAGCACAAAACAAGCTAGTGAAGGCATTGTTTCACTTTGCTTTTTTAACACCCACTAAAGAATTATACAAACAAACGAAACTTATGACGTAAATGACGTAAACAAACGTATATATATTTAACATGTTTATTAGTTCAAAAATCCTAAACAAAACAATACATAGTGAAATATCTTTCATGCAAAGAAAACACACAAAGCTTTTATTGCGTATGAATGAATTATACTTACCTCTTCCCAGAACAAACTATGGCAACAAAAATATTACTTTCGAAGGAGCAAAATTATATAACTCTCTTCCTAAACATATTAAAGAAGCAAAATCAATATCCGCCTTCAAAACCGCATTAAAATTGTTTGTATTTAAAAAATAATATATAATAAACCAAGAAAATTAATCAATCATCAAATCATCATCATCATCATCATCAGCCTATTAATGTCCCCACTGCTGGGGCACTGGCCTTCCCTATGGATGGAAAAGGGAGATTGGGCCATGAACCACTACGCGGGCCCAGTGCGGATTGGTGGGTGCTAACGACTGCAAATGCAGCCGGTACCAACGGCTTAACGTGCCTTCCGAACCACGGAGGAGCTCGAGATAGTAAATTTTTGGTCACCCATCCAATGACCGACCACTGCGAAAGTTGAAGTTAATATAGTTGTCGAAATAAAAATATTTACGTCTTTATGTTTAATAAATAGAAATAAAAACTTTCGCATTTTTAATATAATATTAGTAGGATTTAGAGTTACAATACAAAATGTTATTAAAAAAAGCCGAAATAAAAAAATGGGTGCGTGTACTTATGTAGGCGCGTGAGAAGTTATCCTTCTTTGGCATCGTTTAAAATTAGTTTTTAATTGCATGCAAATAATTAATTACAATAAATTAATAAAAAGTCTGGAAAACGACATAGTCAATAAAGTTCAGTTTTAATTTGAAAAAATAAATAAATAATCAAAATATTCAATTAAAATCGCTACTGAATATAATTTATTAGAAAATATGTGATTTGCACTTGTATGAAACTCAAACACGCATTCCGAATATACAAACTAGAAACATGTGGATAAATATTATAAATATGAATACCTGTAACTGTTACTTTATTACAAAAAATAAAGATGTGGTTTTTGGTTCTACTACACCAATGGTCAAGAGATGGCGCTGTAGTCTCCTGAATCGCGCTTTGGTTCCGTTGTTCCAGATTAATAAATACTTTTGATAGGCCTTCACAATGCAGTCGTTAGCACCCACTAAATAGAGATTCTATTTCTATTTTGTTGGTAGATTTTTTTAATGTGCGGTAAACACAAAAGTAACAGCATGAAGTTGGTCGCTAAAGCGACCAACTTCATGCTGTTAAAATTTTGTGTTACAGTGATGCGCGCGCATCTTAAAATTTCACTCTCATCATTTTTTCATAACGCGCTTAAAGAAGTATAACTTCAAAAAGAATGACATATTATCACTACCTGAGCTTAGAGCCACATCCAGTAGTACGCTACTAAATCTATGTTTTGTTTACCATCTTGCTTTTGTTATCGGTCGCTCGTGATCGATGTCTCATTGCAGAGCGGTGATGATTTACATTATTTTTTCTAAAACTGTATGAATATTGTAATGTGAATGTTGTATGTAATTTTCTTGGGAAACTGTGGTGTTTCTAGTGTTATTGTGTATGATTTGTTCTCTGTAAATTGTTTGCTGGAAAACTATTGTGATAGTCTCACGTAAGTGAATTTTAGGTAAATTCTTGTGAGGTCAATAAATTCTTAAACCATAACATTCCTTGAATACAACAAAAAAAACTAGGTTATAAGAAACTTACTCAAAGCAAAGAAAACTTCCAATTCCGACTTTATTATTTCAGAGAGTGTAAATTGAAAGCCTTTGCATGCTAGATAGATCCTTGCCATTCCTGCAGTAATTCTAAATGGCGCTCCGTTCATTTTCGACGCCAATTGTACGCAGGACATCATTGTCAGCGGTAAATGTGTGAGCAAGGATTGTTTGAACGGCAACCACTCACTACTGCCTGCCATAAAATACAGAAACATAATTTAATTGACAATATTACGTATTTTGCAACCCAAAGATTGATATCAGTACCCTTAGCACGAACCAATATCGAATTCGAATAGTTGAATTCGATCCCGATACGCGTCCAATGCCAAGAAGTTTTGTATGTAAAGTTGAACAGTTTCACAATGGACGAAGCGAGAATCAAAAATCTTCCATACAAAACTTCTTGACATATGACGCGTATAGAGATCAAACTCAAATATTCGAATGCGATATTGGTTCGTGCTAAGGGTACTGAAGTAGATTTGCACTTAATTTGGCATGTTAAAATAACAAAAGCAGCATAAATCCCGTACTATAATTATATTCAGTCCCTATATCATAGGTGGACACCGTTATCCTCCATATTGAGGTGCTAACATATTATACATATACTAATCACTCAATCTATATAAAAGATGTTAGGGAACGAATGTAGTAAATTGGCAGCCTATCTCCTACAAATTAGCAGCTGCCGCATTTTATTTAAGCTCATATTTATTTCGTATACAAAAATTTACGCTGAAACTAGCAGAAATTATAGCAGACACATCCAGCAGCGGTACCGTCACAAAACAGACGGTAAACGTATTTATGAAAAACTGTTTTGGTTTTTCTTATTTATTTAAGTAAAGGAAAGTAATCGATTTGTTTTCACGAGGGTACCTAACGCTTTTCCCAGAAATACGTTTACCGTCTGTTTAGTGACGGTCCCGCTGCTGAACGTGTCTGCTAGTTCTAGCCTCATATACAAAATTGATAAATATTGGAACAGTACCTCTCTGTGATTTAAAAAATATTCGCAATTGCTCTGAGAAATAAGTTTCTATCAGTCGGCACGCCTGCCCCGGCACGCCGTTGACGTTCACGCCCACTCGTGAACACATATGCCATAAGGCAATTCTACCTTCATTAACCAGAAGTTTCCTGTAGCGATCGTAGTTACCTTCAAAGAGAATTATTGATCAGCCAGACATGATTATTTTAAACAAAACACATTAAAAGGACATTCTAGCAGAGGAGCAATTTCCTACATTTCTCAAAATATAATGTAACGCGAGTAACTAAACTAGCTTCGTCAGTTAAAAAACCGACCAAGTGCCTGCAGACAACGCGCAATATAGGGTCCCGAAGGCTGTATTACAAAGTGCAAACAATAACAAAGTTATAGGTAGTATTTCGAGGCATGTCCGCAGTCATCAAGGCACTCGCGCGTATGAGCGAGGCGGCTCGAAACTGCTCTGAGCCGCGCACTCACCCTTTTATTAATAAATCAAGAATAAGTTTTGATTAGTTATTCCATGTTTTGTCTCTGTGCATCGAATGTAAAATCTAAGCTATCTAAGCATGCTAAAGTCGGAAAGCCTAATTTTTGGGCGAGAGTGGAATAGCTTTGCTTATGTAAAAGCTAGTAAGTTGGTCTTGTAGTCAGTAATTTAGGTTCGCTTTTATCGAATTATATAAGTTTTTTGATAATAAATATTGGCTATCGTTTGCTGATCTAACAGGAACTAGGGACTTTGTATTTCATCCCCTATCGATCGCGGGGCCCTGGGCACTTGCCCAAAGTGCCCACTGGGAAAGAGGGGTCTGGGTATAGGCTATGGGCCCTTTACCATCGGGCGGGCCATATGCTTGTTTGCCACCCTTTTATATTAAATTTTAATTTTCTTCTTCTAAGTCTGAGATATGTCGCAGATATATTGACGGCCATGGCGAAACTATAAAATACACCGTAATCGGAATCTTAAAAATGTCGTGTGTAAAGGCTCATAAAAGTTCTGTTTTTCTTTAAATTTTCTATGCAAAAATAATGTAAACCAAATAGCACTTAACTTTTAAGATTATAGTTGACTAGCAAACCAGTGAACCAAATGTTCACCAAAACCTGATTTCTCAAAAACCGGAAGTGCTACGTTACTCAAATCCGGTTTGTAGTCTTATCAGACTATTCTTAACTTATAACTTAAATATTCTCTTTATCTATCTCTTACGGTTTGGCCGCTGAAACAGCACCACGGACAGACGGACTCGTCTAATAGATAAGAGATGCCGTTACTTTCTCTGCGATATTAAAAGAAAACGGCCACACTCAGAGAGAGGTCAATTAAATTTCATGTTGATGCTCTCACGTTCTTCGACAAATGAGACAACACGCGATCTAATGAAACCTTAAATTGATTTACGTTTCTGTGTACGGCACGTTGAATAGAATTAAATATATAGCTGCACATGCAGACCTTAATTAAATTTAATGCTTCAATTAATCACAAGACTTGTGACTAATTGAAGAATTAAATTTTATTCATAAAAGTCATGACATCAACTTTAATAAAAGTTAAACGTAAATTGACGTCTCTGAGTACGGCCTTTACAAAAAAAATGGTTGCCTGTAAAGTCGGTTTTACGGGCGAAGATTTTACGTGACAACGTCTTTTTCTCGGTAGAATATTTATTGATATGAATATAATTAAATTGCACAATAGGAACAAGGAATTGAATGAAAATAAGAATTGCACAAATTTTAACTATAGAAATATATTTTGTTAACTAAAACATTGTACATGTAAACTTAAACTTAACACGAGAGACTCATCGTAACGTTACCGAGCGTTACACTTTTTCATAAGTGACTCCCAGCCGCAACCTAATTTAAGACGTTGTCACGTCAATAACAATCTTAAAAGCTCCAATTAAGTTCTTGCCTTCTTTCATACGGGATAACCAGTCCCGCAACGTATACGATGTCGCGTTTAGTGCCGATTTTGTGGCAGATTCAAAGCTTCCTTCGTCATCCATGTTTGCAAGGGGAAAGTAACATTGGAATTTTTAAATGGTCTCTTTTATGTATACGTGTTCACTTAAACACTATCACTACAACTATTCTATTCTATCTAATTAATTTACTGCTTTACATTCTCTATGTTTGCTGCAAATAAAGAAAATGTTCACTGCAAAAGATTGACTGCAGCACCACGTCAAAATTGCAGTGTCACTTTTTTTAAATATAACTTGCAATAATAGGAAAAGTTAAAAAAGGTTTATTTAAAATGTATTTGACTTGCCAACAATTTATAATATGCACGGTTTATTGCAAGAAAACGGTGTAAAATATAATAGTACTCTCCTTTTTACTCTTGAATGTGAAACAGAACAAAACATAACTGGTATCTAACAGTATTTATGATGAAATGATTCCCCGAGACAAAGATTTGAGATTGAAATCTGGAGACCGTTACGTATCCGCAAATTGGCACTGGAAAAACTCATTCTATAGATAAGGTATATGTGTTATATGTTAAGTACTAGATTTTAAAATGAAGAAAACAACATATGAAATTAAGAAAAAACCCAATCAAAAAATAAAAATGGCCGGGTTTATTTTTTCCCCTGTTTATGATATATCCCTATAGAAAAGCCCAAGCATCGACCAAGCTACTACCTTTACAGCAAGTTAGTTCTTTCATATTATCGTACTTATTCGAAACAGGCTAGTTGTCATTTTTTTGGAAATATATTTTATATGGTTAATAATATTGTTCTATTAGACCGAAAAAATGTATTGTATTGTTTTTACCTAGAAAGCTACAAAACTTTGATTTTAAAATAGAGTTTCATGGACATACAAAAACGATGTCGGCCATTTTAGTCTATAGATTATTATCTATGCTCTGAAGTCGAAACATTTGTAACAAACACTCGCAAGCACGAAGGAAATTATTTATATTATAAAACGATTATTTCTAAAAGATTACCTACATGAAAAATAAAGTAATTATCATAGGTTAATAATCGGTCTCGCTTCACTCGACTAGGTACCGCCGACGTACTTGTATAATGCGGCAACCATAGATGAATGATTGGTCTCGCTTCAAGCGAGACCAATCATTTATCTATGGCGGCAACAAATACTATGCCGAAATCGGCATACCCGAGCTTTCACCGAGCCAGTCAACCTGACAGTTGTGTACGTAGTGAATGTTTTATTAAAATTTGGTGTTAATCGAAAGTAAAATGCCAGTTTATGTAGTGAAATAATACAACAATATATAATAAGGACGCTGGGATCACATAACATCAATAAGTTTAATAAAATTTCGAAATTTCAACATAAAATAACATGAACCCTAAACGTCATTCAGGTGTTGCGTGTATACAAGAATCAAATCCTTATGGTTGAGATTTTTGTTTATAATGTGAATTTATTGTTATTGTATTTTATTATTGAACCTATGTTATTTAAACTTACTATTAAACTTACAATTAAACTTAACCTAGTTTTATATTATTCAACGTTTCTCTTTGTAATCTACCTTTTACTCCGATGATATTCTGTTATTATTTTCAACACATGTGCTTGTAAACTGACTTATTATTTACACAGTTTTTAGTTTCACAATTCAGCATATTAACTATATAACTTACTTGTTGTGTATTTTTTTAAAAATTTCATCGTATTATTTAAATTATTTTAGGTTTAAGATGACAAATAAACAATTCATTTTATATTTATAAACACAAATTAACTTGACTAACGTATTAAGAAACATTTATTTATATTTTTTTATATTGCTGCTGTTCTGACTGGCACAGACTTCAAAAAAGGATATTCTCAGTTTGATCTGTATGTATGCATGTTTGACCATGATAATCTCAAAGGTTTTCGCGCATATTATTGCGTAAATACGCATTTTCTGAGAAGGTTTTAGTATATAATTTACTAGCATTGTCTCACGGTTTTACCCGTGTGGACCTACGCTTGTAAAATTTCCAACTAAAATAGTAGTGTATTCTGTGTAACACTGAAAATGAAAAAATGAAATAATTTTAAAAAATAAAACAGACTTAAAAAAATAGATTTCCCGCCTGATATACTTGAAGTCGATACCAAGGTATGTGTTTAGCAGGGAGATTATGATAATAATAACGATCGACTTCACGGTAAACTTTATTTTACAGTTTCAGTATTTTTGAAAACGGTTTTATTTTTATTAAAAAATATTCCTGCGCCGTTATTGAACCTGTGAGCGCATTTATTAATAATATTAATAAATTCAACTCCGTCGGAAATACTTATCGCGGCACGAAACGCGAGTGATAGGCTGTTGCTGCCAGTTGATTTATGAACATATAGTAACTTGACATTTCGAAGGCGACGTTCTGATGGATATATTGATCGAAAGTCAAAAGTATTGTCACCAACCGATTTTGAAAAGTTTTTGAATTTAGCTCAATAATGTCAAAATACTTGGCAACAAGGTGTCGTGTGAGGCCGGTCTTTACGTTCTCTAAAAATAGTTGAGCGAAGCGATGGCTGGTTCATGCGTCATTCCCGTGAACGGCTGCTGCTAGCGGAGATGAGCCTGCTCTTCCTACATTGGGTACTATTAATCATTGTATTGAACTTTAATCGTAATATTTTTTATGCCTAAATGGAAGGCACAGCATTCCTTAACATTCCTAAACTTTAAAGAAAATATAACTAGAAAAAAATTCACCCGGACCAGGCAGGAGACGGGACTCGAACCCTCACCCTTCGCAATCCGGGCGAATGCACTGACCAATTATGCTACCGCGGCCCTCACGGACCGCGTCGAAATTCCTCTAGCCATTCTTAAGCTGCAAGGCAGCGCCATCTCTTCGCATTATAGGTAACCCACAATGTCAAATGAATACTTTTACAAGTAATAAATATTTGAAAGAAGAAATAGCAATTACAGTTATAATTTTTATTTATTCAAAGCATGTAACTGCTTGATGTTTAAATCTAAAGATTTTTTCTAGTTATATTTTCTTTAGATTTAAACATCAAGCAGTTACATGCTTTAAAAAATAAAAATTATTCCTAAACTTTGTTAAATCAGTTTTTTATATTTTTTTTATTTTATGGTCATAATTTTTATATCATTTACATTTTTAATGGAAATTGACTTCATAAATTATCTCATAATGAAGTCAATTTTCAATTTGACGACTCTGTTTAAAATACAGTGAGAAAAAAACAGCCCTTGCTGAGTTTCTTGCCGATTCTTCTTTGTACAAGGTCTCCGCCGTAGATTTGCGAACCGATGGCGTAGCTTTTCGACATTCACAACTTTTTGTAACAGCCTAGACTGAATAAAGGATATTGTTTTTTTGTATTTTAAAAATTTTGCACACCTACTCTGTATAAAATAATAATGCTATCTGGATTTTCATTTTTCAAAATTATCATAAAACAAACATATAGGCATGTTGAAGTTTTAAATAGTGCATCAACGTTCTCCTACAGTTTTGGTCGTAGAGACATGATATTTAGTAAATAGGTTGTTAAAATGACGTAGGCATCAAGCGAGAAATATTTTTGTAATATTCAACAGTGAATTGGGTGATATAGTGGTTCAAAGTTTGAATGGGATAACGAGTTTGGCTAGCTTAACAGCTTTGAAACATGGCTAGATGAACTAAACTGAAATATAAAAAAATGTGTTACATGTTTTTTTGAAATTCGACTAATTTATTTCTACGACGAGAAATAAGGATAGCAAGATAACTATAAAATATATTCAGCAAATTTGCTCTTATATGTTATTACTAGCTACGCCCTGCAACACCGCAAAATTCCCGTTCCCTTAGGAATTCCGGGATAAAAAGTTATTCAACCTATATGCCTAAAAGTGCATAAAAGAAACTCTTTGCTAAACAGAAAAATCAGGGTTTCCATGCCCATGGCCAAATAGATTTCAGATATTCGACCTGTTTTCAGCAGACTTGCTCTGATTTGTTATTATTTAAATACTTATCTTCTTCTTCTTTTTGGGAAATGGCGGTGCACTTTTGTAGATTTAGCCAGACTCGAGTGATTCGGCTTGGTTGTTCAGTATCAAATACTCATAAAGCTTAAACTTCATTATTTGACATGTGAATGACAACTGGGCATATGTTGCAGTCTTTAGTTTACCGAATATACAGGGTTACAGGGAAAGTCGTACTGAATATTAAAGAACGTTATTATTCAGGTCATTTCTGATGGATTTGGTCCTATAATATGGTGTCCGAAACTTAACCGTTATGGAGATATTGGATATTAAAGTTTTTTTTTAAAATCCTATATTTTTTGGGTTTTTGTCGAGTTTTTTGAAACTAGAGCTCCAAAGGTCCGATTTTTTAAATGTATCTAGTTAGAAGACATGTCAAGAAATAAAAATAATGAATAAAAACTGAACTTACTTCTAACGGCTTAAAAAAACTGCTCGACAACGGTTATAACTAAAGAATTTTCACCAAGTGTTGTTAACTTTGAAGCGCTGTCCTAAAAAAAACATGTATCGAACTAATTCTGCAAATAATTTTAAAAACTTCTACGTCTCTTTAGCTATTCAAAAAGGTATAACACTTGCTATTAAATTGGCAAAACATTGACCAAATAACAGTTATGGTAGCAGAGGGTACATTTTTAGTTTGAGGTAAAAATAGCAAAATACATAAATAAAACCAGAAAAGCATCATCATCATCATCCATTCAATGACCGACCACTGCGAAAGTTGCTTAAGTTCAACGATTGCATCATCTGGTCCTATACTATTACGAGTATATAATGAGAAAAAAGGACACACTGACTGACTCATTATGACCCATTTTAAAAATTGTTTTACTAATTGAAAGTTTTATTGTAAAGGCAAAGGATTACAAACAAACAAGCCATACAAGACACTCATAAAGAAGAATGACTGGCTGCTATGAACTCAGAATTTAACTCTTTGGTTAAACATGGTACATGGATACTCGTTAAGAGACCGGCGGACAGGAAAACTATAAAATGTAAATGGGTTTTCTAAATAAAACGAGACACTAGCGGGGAAATTGTTAAATATAAGGCTACACTTGTAGCAAAGGGTATTCACTCAAATAAATTACTTTTCTTAGCGGTTCTCATAGACGATTTTTTCCTTTTATGTAATGACGAAATTATGAAGTCCGAGTTTAAAACAAAACTCAAAAGCATCTCTATCGTAAAAGATCTTGATCTTTTAAAAGACTGCTTAGGGATGCGAGTAACTCAAACAAGTGGCAGTATTAAGGTTGACCAAACCCAATACATTGAAAGTGTCATTGAAAAAGTTAGAATGACAGATGCAATCCCTATCACAACACCCTAAGAGCCTGGTATAAAATTCACTCTACCTGCAAAAGAAGATAAGAAACAGAACTCCCGTGCCAGCAGCTAATTGGCTCTTTAATGTACATTTCTCTAGGTACTCGGCCAGATATTTCATTCGCAGTGTCATATCAGAGCCAATTCAATGTGCATTATCATTACGGGGAGGTGCATTGGAAAGCTGCTAAAAGAGTTCTCCGATATCGCAAAGCCACCAAAAATGTATGACTAAACTTCCAAAAGGGTGACAACTACCCAAAAGGTTATGCGGATGGCTATTATAGCAACAGTCCAATAGACAGGCGCTCCTACTCTGGATGTGTCTTTAAAATGAGCGGTGCTTGCGTGTCATGGGAGTCAACAATTACCCAGCGCTTTCTACAACAGAAGCAGAGTTTATGGCCTTAAGAGATGCTTACAAAGAGGCCATTTATCTTTGGACGCTGATAAAATATGTCTTTGATGTCATTCATCCCATGACTATATACTCCAATAATCAAAGTTCATTAAGACTAACTAACACGCAACAATACATATCATTCTCGAACCAAGATATAAGATATCATTTCATTAGAGAACTATCACAACATGACCTTCAGCTTCAGTACATACCGCCGCAGACATCCTCACCAAGTCATTAGCAAAAATCAAATATTGTAGATGCACTTCATCATTAGGCTTAAGGTAGGATAGTCGGTAGGTTAAGATAGTTTTATTCAGATATTGTGTACAGTGTGTTTGTTTAAACCTTGTGTTAATTTTGTGTTTAGATTTAAGGCTTCAGTGTACAGCATAACTTTTTTATGGACTTTACTATGTACAGTTTTAATATTTCTAACTACAGGGTACACTATTACGGGGAGGTGTAGAAAATCTCTTTGGTAAAACAGAGCAGCCTTGACCGTTTTTAAAACTTTTTTACATATTGTAAATTTTTACATCCGTCACTCCTAATCTATAATATAAAAATGAATCGCTGAATGTGTTGCTAAACGCAAATCTCTAGAACAACTGAACCGATTTCGATAATTCTTTTTTTAGAATATTCCTTGAAGTACGAGGATGGTTCTTACGCAGAGAAAAAATAAAAAAAATGCCTGAAATAGTTCAAAATCAACAATTTTCTATATTCTTCTTCTTCTTCTTAGTCGGGCACTCTTGTCAGAGTGGTCGTGGTTGCACTGATGAGGTACATGGTGGGGTGTTCTTTGGGTCGCTATCAATGCCGAGGGTAGCTCTCCTGGCGATATGCTTCCATTTCTGACGGTTCGAGGCGTCGCGAGTACACTGGACCATGGTAGACTCAGTAGACCGCGTGCTCTATTGCCTTCCACCTGGCCTTGAACCACCAGCCTTTCCACCGAATTCTCATTTCTAGAGATGTGACCAAAGAACTTCAGTATTCGTAGTTGCACAGTTGACGAGAGTCTGTCTTTAACACGAAGCTCTTTGAGGATGGATATATTGGTACGAAATGCCGTCCACGGGATCTTTAGGAGGCGTCTCCAGCACCACATCTCTAATGCATCGATTTTACGGCGATCCTGCAGTCTCAAAGACCAAGTTTCGGCTCCATAAAGAAAGATTGGAAACACAAGGCATTTCATCAATCTGACTTTAGTCTTCTTGGTAACTCTCCTGTCCCTCCAAATCTTTCCTAGCCGTTCCACTGCAGACCTGGTGATGGCGCACCGCCGTCTGATCTCGTCGCCACATCCTCCAGTACTTGATATAGTAGATCCGAGGTAAATATAGTTCTGTACCACTTAACAGTTGGCTATATTGTGTACATTGGTTCCAAATTGTTCGGCTCGGTCTACTATCATCATCTTCGGAGACTGGTACTTTCTAGACGGCTTAGAAAATTTTCCATGTCTTCTCGAGTCTGTGCGAGAAGGGTAGTATCATCAGCGTATCTCAGGTTATTTATCACGCGTCCCCCAACAGATGTTCCTTTGTCCCAATCTTCTAGGAGAATGCGCATAATATACTCTGTGTAGGTGTTAAAGAGTAGTGGCGATAAGATGCATCCTTGTCGTACACCGGCCTCAGTCTGGAATTCACTCGAAAGGGCATCATCGACTCGTACCGCTGCAGTACCGTTCTCATACAACCTCCTCAACAGAAATATTAAATGGGGTGGTACGCCTATATTCGCAAGTATCCTCCAGAGGTGTGTCCATATGACGGTGTCAAAAGCTTTCCGAAAGTCCACAAAGCAGATGTAAAGGGTTGTATTGAATTCTCTGGCCTTCTCAATAATCTGGCGCAATATAAGAATTTGTTCACGTGTGCCTCTTCCCTTAACAAATCCGGCTTGCTCGGGTGCAATTTCCCTTGAGAGGTAGGCCAGCAGCCTGGTATTAATTATGTGGAGCATCACCTTACTTTCATGAGATATCAAGGATATGAGTCGGTAGTTATTACATTTCTTGGTAGACCCTTTTTTGTGCAATGGAATAAAAATTGATTTCGACCAGTCATCAGGCCATATTCCAGTCTCCCATATTTTACTGCAGATGATATGTAAGTTTCAATTTTCTATACTCCCATACAAACGATTCGTAATAATACTTATAAGTCAATTTGAACTTTTTTACCATACCATAAATTTCAAATGTTAGTGAAGTGGTTCGTGACGAATAATAAGTGACGTGATGTCAATAGAAGTTTGGAAAAGGCAAATATACCATTTTTAGTTTTTTTTATAATTATGTGAAGAGGCATTTTTGTCTACACTACAGCGAACTACTTACACCGAAGCGAAGCGAGCGCGGGCCACTAGTATATAATAAATTTGTAAACAACCTTGACCGTTTTTTAAACATTTTTTACAAATTTGTGTTCTATTGTAACGAAGAGATTTTCTACAGGAAGCTTTGCACTCGAAGAATACCATATAAATTAACGGAGGACCAGTAACAACTGCGTGTACAGTGGTACCGTAAAATGATAAAAAAAATAACAGAGGACTTAATAATTGGCTGTCTATAATATAGTCAGGTAACAAAATCTGGGTGTACTACTTTGAAAAGCAAGCCGGCCAGCTGGCAGTAGATCTTTCCTTTTGAAAATTTGCCGACGAAAGTTATAAAAAAGTCTAAAGGGCCCCATATACGGAACGATTCGTCTTTGCGATCGATCTGAAGGAAATCGTCAACGATCGATCGTTCAGAAATGCCACTACATACACGAAACACTGCCGATTGATCGTTTACGATATGCATGATTGCATGGGATTTGGTTGCGATTTGCGATATCGTCTTCGATTAAGTAAATCGTTAACGATCTTGACATACACTGTCGATCCATCGTTTCGATCGGTCTGAAACGACGGATCGTACAGATCAATCGTACCGTATATGGGACACTGACGATCGATCGTTTACGATATTCATGATTGCATGGATTTTTGTTGCGATCTCCGATATCGTCTGCGATTAAGTAAATCGTTAACGATCTTGACATACACTGACGATCCATCGTTTCGATTGGTCTGAAACGACGGATCGTACAGATCAATCGTTCCGTATATGGTTTAAGCATTGATAGAAATATATATGGTTGTTTCTTTATTCGACAAATCAGAACGTTACCCAAAAACATCACATAAAAATCAAATGACAGTGACTGTAGATTGGTATGCCACTACTTGCTTGTCCAGTCGTAGAAAAAATCGCGAAAAGCGTCCTAAAAGCAATGTTCTTCTTCACCGCGATAACGCATCGTCACATTCCGCTAAGGTAACCGAAGTTTATTGAAAAGCTTCAAATGTGGAACTGATGACTCATCCGACTTCTAGCCCGGAAACTGCCCCCTGCGATTGCTTATTGTTTTCAAAAATTAAAGATATACTTAGAAGCGTGCTTAGAAGCACGCGTTTCACGGAATCTAAATTGGCGGTAAATGCGTTCCATGAAGCCAATTGAAGAAGTTTTTAAGGAAGACCGATCCAATTGCTTTATACAATGTTTTCAGCGAATGCACAAATGCATTATTTGCAAAAGAATAAACTTTAAAAAACAATAAACGTGTCGTAAGTTTTATATCTTACCCAGAATCCAGTATACACTAATAGAAGAATGAGGTTTTCTATTATTATCGATAATAATGCTTCAGCATATTATTTGAAAAACATGCCATGAATACTTAAGTGCCAAATTATATTTTTTAAAACTCATATAAATTTTTAAATTTGACTGAAGTTGATGCTATCTATTACTTTCTATGCGATTATAGTATTAGAAAAAATAATTTACGTTTCTGAGTAACTACAAAGTTGTGATTTGGCATGGAATAAAGTCAGGTCGATAATAAAAAAACACGTTTTTGATACGCATCAATGTAATAATCCTTAATGACCAATTAAATAATGTAACAAGTAACTTATGCTATCCCTTTTAGTGCGATTTTACCACTTACGATACATGATGTATAATACTTTCCACGAAAATTCAATAGTATGCGACGTTTGCCAATTTTTTATTAAAGATTTACTATGCTGCTAATTTAATAATAAAAAGGTGACTAGAAGATTTTTTAATTAAAATGCGATTGTTGCGGTTTCTTCAAGCCACAAATAATCTGTGCAATGTTAACAAGTTATAAAAAATTACGAATTAACGTCGTCTGTTAGACGAGGGTCGGGTGGGGGCAGCCAACAATGGCCTCCTCAGGGGTGTCCAATAAAAACTTGACAAATGGCGTTTCATAATCGCGCTGCATTCCAGGGCTCGTCAACGGCAGCGCGATTGCCAGCCCCCTTGAAAATAATGTTTAGTATGTATGTATGTATCTTCTGAAATATCCTCGCGTGTTACAATAGCAATAATGTTTACCTTGCTGTGATAGCTGATAGATAACTATATTCGGTATTACCAGATTTTTTGAAGCATGGAACAGCAAATTTGTTCCACGCCTCCTGATGTTAAGTGTTCACTCATTTATTTTTTTAAAACAATAAATGCAGTATTTATTTTCTCAACAAGCTATAAACAACAATACTCCACTCGATGGAAAGGGTCTTGTTTTTCGCATCCTTTAAATCAAGTTTATGTTCAACAAGATGTTCAAACATAGACTGAAAATTGTAACTCCAAACTCAAACCTGTAATGCCTGTAAATCCTGTTCGTCAGACAACGGATAAACGATCAACAATTGCGATCCCTTTGAGCCCTTCGTGTACGGAATACTAAAAAACGGAGTAAATTAAGTTTGTCTTTTGGTTTGTACGCAGTGTAAAATAGTACGAAACCCTTAATGTGCGAATCTTTCTCGCACTTGGGCCATTTTTCGATTTACTAGGCAATTTCTAAACAACAATAAATGTGAAAACAAAAAATATTTCATTGTCTTCGATAGCTAAGTACAAAATGCCCTGTCTGACGACCGGCCGGCGGAGCTTTCTCCGCTCATATTATAAGCGGCCACAGTTTATTCTGATATAAAAATGTCACGGGGTCATAAACTACGAGTGGCTATTATTACAGAGTAGTGAGGAATGCGTATTAAGGGTCTGTATTTCGCCAAAATATTGAGCTTGTCACGGCACACCCTTCGCCGCAAACACGATGTTATTAAAAATAATTTCTCATTTTTATTGCTGTTAGGTGTTGTGGCTTACACAGATTATAAATGACGTTACTTTTATTAAGGTATCGTAAGGGTTAGCTTTTATGATAATTTAAACTTATTTGTACCTCTTTAAAGTTCGTTATTAACTGGTTAAGTACTCTATATACCCTATAATTTGATTTTAATATTTCATTTACTTCATAGATTGTATATCAATTCACATTATAATTTACATATCTAATGTTAGTAGGTAACAATGTTTCTTAGATGATAATATTTTTAATAATAACCTATATTTAGCACAGAAAAAAACATTAACATTAGTTTTACAATATGCAACTTATAGTTAATACTCTCAAATTATTTCAATTTTGGTCTTCGTTTTTTTTTCAAATTTCTAAAAATTCCAAAGCACGTTACAGACTAATCATGATTGTAGTAGTATAGCCGCTGGATGCAATATGTAGCCCGGTATGTATGGTGACCTTTACTTTTCAAATTAATTTTATAAACCACTAGCTGACCCAGCGAACTTCGTACCGCCATAAAAAAATTTAATTAAAAAAACATTGTCCAGCGGACAAAATTGTGAATCTGAACCATTCTCAGATCCCCTTGAACACACACAAAAAATTTCATCAAAATCGGTCCAGTCGTTTAAGAGAAGTTCAGTGACATACACACTCACAGAAGAATTATATGTATAAAGATTACTATTGGTTTATAAAATTAATTTGAAAAGTTATCATTAAAGGTCACCATACATACCGGGCTACATATTGCACCCAGCGGCTATACTACTACAATCATGATTAGTCTGTAACGTGCTTTGGAATTTTTAGAAGACGTCAAAAATTATGATATTCGCCATTTATACTTAGTTTGCCATAACTACAGGGTTATAGTTTCTTAAGTATTGATGGCGGGTGGTAGGGGAAAAATATAAACGATTCAAAAGAGTTGCGTTATGTTTTCAATTTGAATAAAGAAATTTTAATTTTGTTAATGTACTAACTGTAACTTAAGTTTAACAAACAGTTTAACAATTACAGACACGGTTTAATAAATTACGCTTTATTTAGTAGTGATTTTAAGTCTATGTTGATGCTGTTCGGTATCAATAGCGAGAGGTTATTCTCATTCATTGTTAGTACAATATTTTTATTGCTACTAAAACGGACAGGGTCACTGCATTTTCTCTAGTCTTAACGAAAAATCTAGACTCTGGCAAACTCCACTTTTCTTCCTTCTTAGCGTAATTAATTTTAAATATTGTCAAAAACTTACTTTTATGACTACAAGTCATACTTTATAAAATACTAGTGGCCCGCCCTCGCTTCGCTTCGGTGTAGAGCTGAAGTGTAGACTACACTTTTTGTTCTCAGGCTTGTATTATACACAATGACATTCATGTACGATTCTTCTTATACCTGCATGTAAAGTCTCAGCCCGATCGGTTAAAATTGACAAAGTTTCATACAAACTTTCATTCTATTTTATCCCCTTGGAGATAGAATTGATTAAAATCCTTTCTTAGCGGATGTCTACGTCATAACATCTACCTGCATGCCAAATTTCAGCCCGATCCGTCCAGTGGTTTGAGCTGTGCGTTGATAGATCACTATGTCAGTCAGTCAGTCACCTTTGAGTTTTACATATATAGATAAATAGATTTCGGTGACACAGTCTTGAATTTAAATATTATTCATAGTTATTTCTTGAGTTTTGACGCACACCACTCATTAAGTAAAACAAGCTAATACGGGTTCACAATGCATCTTTTTATTACTTTAATAACGTTTCGTATCCTTTTCAGGCTGCGTCACCAGAATTATGTTTTTTTCCAAAAAGTGATTAGTGTCCATGATTGGTTTTCATTAGAGAAAAAAAGAAGTTACTAATCTACATGACTGTATGACATAATGGCAAGATCAAATTGATTTATTTGTCTGTTGTTGTGCTCGTATATTTATCAGGATGCGGTAAGTAGGAAAGATTTTTCAGAAAATCGACAATAATTTATTAGTAAATTGCACCTGTATAAAACTAGGGATGATTTGCTGGTTAAAATAAATAATGAAATATGAAAATCTTCAGTTCTATGTATTTTAATGGCTTTAAACAAAGTCAACAGTAGAGATTACGAAATTCTCATCCTAACTGAAAGGAATAACATTTATTTTTTATTTTTATGGTCACACTTATGTTATCGGTAAGTGAAGTTAAGTTGTATTGCAACTAATTGACTAAAAAACATAAGTTTGGTACTTAACTATTAAGGAATGAATTGCGGTTGCTCGTGACTTCATCCTTGTTACCTATATATTCAGAAAATCCCACTGAAAGCTTAAAAATTTCAGGGATTAACAGTATCATATGTCCTTTTAAAGGGAAAAAGTTGTCTGTGTATAAAATTTAATCCAAATCCGTTCAACTGTTTTTGCGTGATTTAGTAATAAGCAATAAAATATTTCCCATTTAAAATATTAGTAAGATAAAATGTAACGATTTTATGTTGCAAAGCAGGTAAGTACGTATGTGCGTTGTCGGTGTTGAAATATTCATATAATAGTAAGTACTTATAGGGCAATGGATAAATTTGTGTTTTGAGATTGCATTGCGAGGGGCGTGTCGCGTAGGCGCCCGCCCAGCGCACCGGAGCACGGCACGGCAGTCGACGCCGGCACGTCACGTCAGACGCACGCACGGCTCCCGCGAGCGTAACTCACGTCTGTCGCGAGTATTATCTCTGAAAACGTAGGTAAGTTTGAAAACGAGTTTTTCTCTTAAAATTAGTTAGTCGTAGTTCTTTTTCTTAAAATTTAAGTTAAAAAAGTATGTAAGTAATAAAAGATATTTTAAATGAAGTAGTTTTGTGGTTTTTTGTCGCAAAATTTGTGAATAGTTTTGAATAAGCATAAACATAAAAAGGTATGTTAATTCCCTATTCAATTTATGAAACAGTGTTAAAAAGTGTCTTTGCTTTATACAATTTAAATGTACTAAATCTTAAACGTTTCTTGAACTGGATTGTTTTTACTCCGATTTATCTAGAAAGATAATTTTAAGTATGTAGTATTAGAAAAAAAAACTAACTAACGCCGAAAATATGGTAATGGTTTTTTTTTTTAAGAATTATAAAGATTCTTTGATATTAATATGTTAAGTTTGAACACGCTCGTAGAGTCGTAGCACCTCGTAGCCTGCTACGAATAGCTACATTATTTAAAATGTTGCAAGACGGGAATTATTTATTTCGTATCTATGTTTTTTAGTTTTGCGAAAAGATATTCTAGTATTTTTAGGTAAAAAAAATGGCTCAATTATATTTGTTTATTTGCAAATTAAGCGTACGCGTGTTTTGTGATCGTCAAAGTAAACACAGTATTAAAACTTAGTAGGTAACTGATAATTTGTAATATTTAAATAAATTACGTAGCTATATTATCTAGTTTGCACGTTTAATACAACATGATTAGATTGAATTATTTTGTAAAGAATTAATTTAAATATTTATATAAATTCTATTTTCAATAAAATAAATTAGCGTTTAAGATGAAATCTTTTTAATTAGAAAAACCATTTCAAAATATTTTTTTGCTTTCAAACATAATAATAAAAATCATAATCTTTGCAAACTTTACGCTAGTTATAGAATAATTTTAAGTTGTTTATTTAATTTTTGTTACCTATCAAAATCACTATTTATCGATACAAAGTAAACAAAATATCAAAGTCATTAGTTGAAAATGTTGATACTGATAATAACTTGGTTCATGCTCAACCTCGCTCATATATTTAACGATATGGACCCTCTGGTATCGCAAGTGTTAACGTTTAGCTTGCTACAAGGGGTTGTCAACAATATTAATGTCGTGTTTAGTACATCGCAATTATTCCTTGGTAAAATGCGGATTTTAATAGATCTACAAATATTTCACTCGAACGTATGTTATTATATAACTAACATTGACTTATGTTTAAGATAAATTATTCTCATTTAAAATATAACTGTTGCTTGCATTGTATATTCACAAAGTAATTAATAAGGTAGTTAAACATAATTTAAAAAATGGCCAAAGAAGAAATTCATTACGCACAACAAAATAGATTTTTAGGTAATTTAGTTTAGCTCATAACTCTATCTTGATGTATGTCATCATTCTTGTTTATATATTGACAAACAAACATTGTTTAATTTTCTATTAAATTTTTTTTTCGTCTAAGATTACTGAACAAGCTCACATTTCTTAAATTAAATGGTTTTTGTCAAAGACCTTATCCATTGCAATGGCTGCATCATGGATTCTAGTACACTTTTTCGTCACCCTAAGTCCATTAGGTCGATCCATTCCAAACTTCAAGGTGCACTTGGATCCTCCAAATAATTTCAGATGTTAATTATAATAAGTAGGTATACACAGTTTCAGATTGATCATCAGATTTACCACAAATATCTCATTAACATAACAAAGGATAAGGGTATTTTTTTAAAAGTAGGAATATCACGCAGTAATAATTATTTTTAAGAGTCAAGTAAAACTTTAGTTATATTTTTAGGGTCCCGTACCACAAAAAGAAAACCGGAACCCTTATAGCATCACTTTGTTCTCCACTTGTTCGTACTCTGTCTGTCAAGACTCTTTATCTTGGGAACGCGTGGATATATCGAATTATAATTTATACCATATGTATGCGGTTTCTTGAAGCTATGAACAAATCAAATCTCTAAGTTAACGCAAAAAGAAGATACGGCCGTTTATGTTATGAATATGCCGTTTATGTTCATATATGAAAAAATGTAATATCCACACTTGCACAGAAATCAAAATTATAGGCTACTTTCCGTTGACTTAGAACTAAGAAATATGGCAAGTAACATCGCCTTGTGTTGCAAGTGTCGGAAAACATCTGAAAACTGTACCTTTGCTTTACTACTCATCGAGGATGAGCAACGGTATGGGTGTGCAGTCCTTATTGTATAGTTAACTAAATCTGATTTGTGGATATTTTTAACCTTTTTCACTTCTGTTAAAATTAGAAAAAGCTAAAAAAAACACAAGTTAGTTCATTCACAAAGTAAAAAAGTTGTTTTGAAAGGAACGGGGGTTCAAAGATTGAATTGAATTAATCAAGTCATGTGTGGCATCGTATGAAAGGGCTTCATTAGCAGATAATCAGATTTTTAATAATTTTTAAGATCTAGGTTTCGTTTTTCAACGAAGAATGTAAAATTCCCTCCTTATGTGAAAGTCAAAGGAGACAAAATCTTTCTATCTATCTTTATTAAAATTGAGTGCATAGTACAACACTTTTGAATCATTCAATTTTTTTTTCTTTATCTCTTTTGGACATATTTTTATAACTAGGAGAAAAACGAGCGAAAAAAACTCCATAAAAACATTTAAATTATGCTATTACAACATCAATGCAATCATGATTTAATTCATAAAACAGTTCAAACTCAAGCATTTCTGTCTATAATATAATCGAACACTTTGTAATAAGCTTTTTTTATAAGTGCTATTATTATAGTATCTTAGAATTTATTTGTAAAAAACCTTTCCCCTCTTTTTTATATGTACTAATAAAATATTTTTTTAATAGGATATTAAACGAATATTACCCTACATTTAGCTAGCATAAAAAGCAGAGAACAAATGATAATATATCCCTACATGCAAATTTCAATTATAAATCACAATGATATTACTGATTATAGGATAACAAAACTAAATTTAGGGAATAGCTATGATTAAACTGCGAGCGATTCCAGAAGTATTTATAATACACAATTTCGGTTTGAACTGTAATTTTATTCAGAACATCACTAATAAAACACAATAATTTAAGTAGTATTGTATGTATCTACGAACGGAACCCTCGGTGGGCGAGTGTAACTTGTACTTGGCCGGTTTTTATTAAAAGCAAAAGACACTTTGGAGGATCCAAGTGAACCTTGAAGTATCTTAAAATCCATTATTTGGGATGGGTTGACCCATTAGACTGTGGAGGAAAAGTGTACCGTAGGATTAATTATGGAGCCATGGCAATGGATCAAAGTGGAGCGGAGCTTAGCGCGATCATGTCTTTCTTATTTTTTTAGTTCTTATTAATGACAATCTTACATTATTTTGTGGGGATATAGGTATTTATGTGCGGAGTGATCAAAGTCACATTTACTCAGTGCAAGAAATGACAGTTTTAGTTATATTTTTATTTTTCAACCATTTTACTGTCTAGGACTTTAAATCTAAAGAAAATTTTATTAGAAAAAAGTGAACAGGCCAGGTGGAAGCTTTTTCTAATAAAATTTTCTTTACATTTAAAAATCTAGCAGTTAAATGCTTGAAAACTAAAATTATAACTAAAACTGTCATTTCTTCTTCTTCCAAAAGTTTAATATTTGTAAAGGTATTCGTTTGACATTTTAGACTACCTACAAGTGTGTAGAGGTGGTGAGACGCTGCCTTTCAGCCGAAAAAGCCAAAAAAAATTGACATGGCATGGCATCCGCCCGGATAGCGAAGGGTGCGGGTTTGAATCCCGTCTGCTGCATGGACCGCGTGGATATTGAAAAGTGAGCAAATCAAAAGGTTTATTTTACAAAAATATCCTCTCGGTCAAGTTTTCAGGTTGAAACCACCGAGTGGACTTTTATCTAGTAAAATTTTCTTTACATTTACTCAGTAGATTATTATATTTCATTTAACTGCTAGATCTTTAAATCTAAAGAAAAATTTTACAAGAAAAAAGTCCACTTGGAACCGGGTTCCTGAAAGCTTAACCGAGAGGTTTTTTTTTATAAAAGAAACCTTTTGATTTGCTCACTTTTCAATAGCATTATGAAGACCAAACACAGAGACATGAGATGTTGTGGCTCAAGTTAATGTGATTTTTAAACAAATAGATAGATGTATTTTAGTTAGAGAATAAACATTATTATTTTTTTCAATTTTAAATAATGTTTATAATCTGAATAGTGTGGAAATCATTGTCTAACAAAGTTTTATAATAATAAAGAAGTAACCATACATCTTTAACAAAATACAATGAGGTTTGGAGAAAAATACTTTCAGTCTAGGTTGTATGCTAAGCATATCGAGATTCTTCGTCCAAAGTGTATGAAGCATTTTTTCGATGAACGGAAAGAATGCAACCAAAAAAAATACAAGGAGGCTTAATGACTGATTAAGATCCTGCACTGCGTCAAGCGCACGGAGCGAACGTCTGTCGCAGAGACCCGCCCCGTGCTCCCGGAGCGCTACCAGTACAATATCGGTCGCACGGATGAACAGTCCATAATGGATTATTAGTGTTTTTAATACTCCCTAGCCAAAAGACAGTGCAGACAAAATCACAGAAGACAGCTAATCGAGCGTGCTCACGCTTAACGCAGCGCAGGCTCTAAAGGCTGTGTTGTTTGATACAGTTAAATCCTGAGTAAAGTAGAAATACTAAAGAAAGTGAAACCATTTGTTAAATTTACACACATTTATAGTATTTCTTTGACGTGACATTGACTATTATTATAGTCAAATTTAACTTTGTATCAAACGACGCGGCCGCTCTTTCGATTCTGATACCCCCTAGCGGCGATATGATATATAACGCGTGTCGGGGTATAGATTTGCCTCGCAGGAGATGCCATTAATTAAAACAAACGGATATAAAATTTTAAACTATAATGAGCAAAGTAGGTGAGTAACAAGTACAAAAGTTGAAAGATGAATGCCCTATAAAGAAGATCCTTATAATTAAAATCCTTGAGCTTGTTATGTGCAGGTTTGCTGCGAAGATTTGAATAGGCGCGAACAACGCGTTTATATCACGCTTAATTGTCAAATTACTATGGAGTTTGACAGTTAGACGCGATAAAAAACGCGTATACTTAATGTAAATTGTGGTGCTCATGATACGGACACACCAATATTTTTGTCACTTTAAAATGAGAGTGTAATATAATATGACAAGACAGATATTAATATACTAAATTACAATGGAGGTAATTTAATAATTTAACTAAAGAACAAATAGTAAGATATTTATAACTAAAAACCTTAAAATATATAATAACTAAAATACATTCTTGAAAGGAGTCCCTTTAGGCAAGGTTCCAAAGATACTGGCAGCGTTCCCCCTTTGAATAGCTAGACTAATTCTTTGTCCGAGGTAGCTGCCAGCTCTTCGGTCTCCTGTGATGTCGACCAACCTTTTTGCTATTTCCTTAAAAAGCCTTACAGCGCTAGGACCCCACGGATCAAGGGTCCAGACACCGAATGGGACAAAATCATATTCGGAGCCTAGACCCCTGTATTTGCATGCCTTAGTTTTGTCAGCCGCTTCGCAAGCCGCATCACTTTAAAATTATAATGCAGCGTAAAGGTTTGTTAATTTACTTTGTATTCTGCAAGGTGTAGGTGACATTTTCGGACGGGAGCTCCGATATTAGCGGAAATTTGCTATACCCTGATCTCTAAAGAATACTACTAATTTAATACTAATTTTAAAATAAGATCTTTAGGGATGCACTTTGATTTTGTAACAAAAAAGGTGGGAACAATCATAGATATAGTATGTAAGAACATCTTAGTACCTACTCTTAGATCTGATTTTACAAAATTTAGGAGGTCTATGAAAATATTGATTATGATTACAGGATAATGAATTTTAGATTATAAGGGGTTGCTTGTGCACAACGATCTATTGAAATCCAAGTAAATTTGCGGCGTTTCAAAGTAAAAAGTGACTATTGCTTTCATTGTTTAATGAAATATGAACATCTGAAAACAAAATAAAGATGTATGAACTTTTTCTTTTCAAATTTTTCAATAATATACCTGCTTAGACCTCTTTTGTTACAAGAAACCACAGAAACTAAACAATGACCAACACAAAAAGTGAATTCATTTTGTTAAGTGAAACCTCAAAAACTTTGAGTAAGAAGAGTTTCTTAAGTTATGTAACTCCTTCTAAGGAAGAATACAGTGCTTATAATGAAAGGTTATTTCTTTATTCTTTTCATCATGAAACATTTTTACGTAATTATGGTAAAATTTTCTCTGTACAATTTGTTATAAATGACCTATGATTTTTAATGATAATAAATTATTTTCCTAATTTTAAGAGGTGTATTAACTTTCATTTATTTACTTTCAGCTTTTTCTCGGCTTAACTTCTAATGGAACTACAAAATTATATTGAAAATTAAATGGTAACGGTAACTTTTAATGATATTTTTATACTGCTCAGCGAATTCATTTTCAATAATTTGTGGGAACGCTTATTTAAGAGAGTGTGAAATGAAGAATAATCTTCACCAGCTATGTAATCGCGTTCAGTGGTGGGATGTAAAATGATAAAATTTATCATTGCACATCGACAATTATTATTTGTCATGTCATTAGGGAAAGAATTTGGTAGAACGACGACGAGAAAGAGCAGAATATTTCTATACTTACTTAGTTGAAAGACACTAGGAATTGCTTCACAAATAACATTGAGTGTTCCAGCTATGTTTAAGGTTGTCTTAAATCCCCAGGGTGGAGGAACGGGGTTAAGGTGCTTAATTGATAGTATCATTTAAAGTGAAATGCGCGGGTAACTCTCCCTGGTATTAAAGCGGCTACAGATTCATTTGAATTCTTTCCCTAATATGAAATATTTATAAATTTTAAAAATATTTTAATAGCAAAACACAATTTGCAAATAAGACGCAGCGACGTCAAAATAATTATAGTCAATCTATAACAACTAATACTTTTAATGTCTTCTACTTAGATCTAACATTCGTTGTTTCCCTTATGCTTATCTTATATATAACATTCTCGTGTCACAATGTTAGTTACCATACTCCTCCGAAACGGCTTGACCGATTTTTATGAAACTTTATATGCATATTCACTAGGTCTGAGAATCGTCTACTATCTTTTTTTCTTACCCCTCAGCGATAAGGGTTGTCCACCCCTAACCCTTTTTTTTTGAGATTTTGGTTTATTTTCTTTATTTTTTTATAATGCGGCATTAAAAATACATACAGCTCTAAATTTTCACTCTTCCACCACCCATATTTTTATGGCGATACGAAGATCGCTGGGTCAGCTAGTCTTATCATAATATTCAATTACATTAAATGAAAAGCTAAGTTAAGGGCTTGCAACGTAAAACGAGGTCTGGTCTTCTTTAATTATAAGTTCCAGTCGCATACACAAATTCCACATGTATGTTATTTTATACATAAATTACAATATTATTTATTCTTCTTATCTTACTAATATCATAAATGTGAATGTTTTTATGTTTATTATACAAGCACGCAAAACGGATAAACGGATTTGGATGCAATTTGGCACATATATGTGTCGCTTTAGCGACCAACTTCATGCTGTTACTTTTGTGTTTACCGCACATTAAGAAAATCTACCAACAAAATAGAAATAGAATCTCTATTTAGTGGGTGCTAACGACTGCATTGTGAAGGCCTATCAAAAGTAATTATTAATCTGGAACAACGGAACCAAAGCGCGATTCAGGAGACTACAGCGCCATCTCTTGACCATTGGTGTAGTAGAGCCAAAAACCACATCTTTATTTTTTGTAATAAAGTAACAGTTATAGGTATTCATATTTATAATTTCAAAAGTATTTATTAATCTGGAACAACGGAACCAAAGCGCGATTCAGGAGACTACAGCGCCATCTCTTGACCATTGGTGTAGTAGAACCAAAAACCACATCTTTATTTTTTGTAATAAAGTAACAGTTATAGGTATTCATATTTATAATATTTATCCACATGTTTCTAGTTTGTATATTCGGAATACGTGTTTGAGTTTCATACAAGTGCAAATCACATAATTATGTTCTAATAAATTATATTCAGTAGCGATTTTAATTGAATATTTTGATTATTTATTTATTTTTTCAAATTAAAACTAAACTTTATTGACTGTGTCCTTTTCCAGACTTTTTATTAATTTATTGTAATTAATTATTTGCATGCAATTAAAAACTAATTTTAAACGATGCCAAAGAAGGATAACTTCTCACGCGCCTACATAAGTACACGCACCCATTTTTTTTTTCTTAATCTCACAGGAACCTAACATTATCGAAGTTGCGAGCGGAAGCTCTTATATTAAGAGTTATAAATTATTATTAAAACTCTTTTAAATGCTGTGAATCTTATTAATAAAACCGTACTTAGTTGCTATGAAAAAAGATTTAATTGCATACCTTCTCAGATATATTGGCAATGATTCTTATCGCTACGTTTATTGAAAAAGGGGCGGACGGCATTCCTGCTCCGCATAAATCAGCCACTTTCTTCGATACCTCCTTTTTTATTGCGCGATAGGCCTATTACGAACAATGAATCTGGGGTCAAGTGAGAGAGCCTTTACAAACACACCGCTTTCGTCTTTGTATTAAAAAATATTTTATTTGTCGACAGAAAAGTTCATAGATGAAATTTAAAACAAAAAACACTTATCTAATCAGCAGATATATATTTTTAATGATTTAATAAGCGTTTTACACTTTGAAAGACCAGCCTCTATTTATTTAATAACTTTCGTATGTGAAAACCTAGGAAAAGAGGATTTTCTCCATACATCTTCAATTCTTCGCAAAACTAACTCGGCAATATCTGAAACTAGACGTACTTAGTTAGCATTTCCACAAGTTGTAAGTTATAGTTTATTCTATTCATGTTATTTCATAATGTCTTCGTTACTTCGGTAAGAAATTGTCATTAATATATTCTACACTCCCGAATAGAGGCCACAATGACATTATCTTCATGAAAAACTATTATGAATTAATAATTAGGTAATCTGAGGAAATTATGTTATGAGTGTTAAACGCAAAGCCATACCATGCTGTTTTAATATTTGTTACACTAAAACCAAACTAAAACAATTTGTGACACGCGTTACGCCTGCGACGATCCAGGGTACCTACATGAAAGTCATAAAAACAAAAATTAACGTTTAAAATGGCGGTAATTATAACAAAATGTCATAATGTTTTAATACTGTCACAAAAGTATGAATTTTCAAATGAATTATTTTTTTGAAGTGAAACTTCTTTAGGCACTCTTGACTTAGGGGGTAAACTGGCGAATGTGTGACGATTTTTTAGCGTTACGTTACGTGACCGGTGACTCATCGGTAAACAATGAACAATACCCGTCACAAAATTCATAAATATATTGCCTGGTGGGTGATAACGGACCCAGCGCGGACTGGTAGGTGATAACGGACCCAGCGTGGACTGGTGGGTGATAATGTACCCAGTGCGGATTGGAGGATGATAACGGACCCAGCGTGGATTGGTGGGTGATAACAGACCCAGTAGGGATTGATAGGTGGATGATAACGGACCCAGCGTGGATTGGTGGGTGATAACGGACCCAGTGCAGATTGGTGGGTGATAACGGACCCAGCGCGGATTGGTGGGTGATAATGGACCCAGTGCGGATTGATAGGTGATAACGGATCCAGCCCGGAATGGTGTGTGATAACGGACCCAGTGCGGATTGGTGGGTGATAAAGGACCCAGCGGGGATTGGTGCGTGGCAATGGACCCAGTGCGATTGGTGGATGATAACGGACCCAGCGCGGATTGATGGGTGATAACAGACCCATTGCGGATTGATGGGTAATAACGGACCCAGCACGGATTGGTGAGTATTAATGGACCCAGTGCGGGTTGGAGGATGATAACGGACCCAACGCGGATTGGAGGGTGATAAAGGAACCAGCGCGGATTGGTGGGTGATAACGGACCCAGCGGGGTTTGGTGAGTGACAATGGACCCAGTGCGGATTGGTGGGTGATCACGGACCCAGTGCGCATTGGTAGGTGATAACGGACCCAGCGCGAATTGGTGGATGATAATGGACCCAGTTCGGATTGGAGGGTGATAACGGACCCAGCGCGGGTTGGTGGTTTTTTTTTCTATCCATAAATCTTCAGGTTAAATTTATGTTTTTACCCGGCTGCGCAATGCAAGAGCGCGAAGCGCGACGCGCAGACAGGGTTATGTGTTTATTAACAGTCTATATATGTATGTTTGTTCCTTTGTGGCACACTAGAGACCAAACGCCTGGACCGATTTTGATTATTCATACATCAATAGATTCGTCTCAATCATGGGAGTGCTACTAAAGATATGATAGTAATCAAAATTCAATATGGGCGAAATTAGGCGCCATATTGTGACGAAGTAAAAAAAATAAGTTGACAAAATATGTCGAATGGGGTATCACTGTCTAGATAATCAAAAATCATATTTAGGTTCCTAACACCATTTTTCATTTTATATGATTGTTTAGGATCTACAATGCTTTAAAGTTGTATATTAACCACTTACGCTTTTAATTTCAATCTTACGTTTGTATGGATCTTTGTTACTCTTTCACCTAAAAAATACTGAATGGATTTTAATGAAACTTAACAGTAATATAGCTCATATACGATAATTACATATATATAATAATTTATGTAGTTATTGAGTGAATTGGCCAATATATAGCAATAAGTGTCACATAAGACGGGAAAAAATGTCCCATCTGCGAGCCATTTTGGCCTGCACTGCAAAAACAATAAAAGTTACATGAATGTAATGTAGAGTGAAAATGTATGTCTTAAATAGTTCTAAAAAAAAGTTCGTGACACCATATATCTATTTTTAATGTGTAAGTCATTACCGCTAAAATAGTGAATCAAAACTAAAATATTTTTTGATATCTATTTCCAAAATGCACATTTTGTATTAACAAATCATTTTTTATCAAAACAAATACTTTAATCGCTTTTGATATTTAAAGACGATAAACTTTGCTTTTTACACAATGTCATTTCGACAAATATTTAAAAAGTTACAACGATGACAAAGTACTATGTAAAAGAAAAAAAAATGGGGTATTCGCAGTATCTGATCCTATACAAAGTACTAACATTAAAACTGTGATACAGTTCCTTCTTATTAAATGATGAAAAATATATTATCATAATAGGTATTTATGATTATTGAATTTTAATGAAAAACTCAGAATTTTACTGTTTTTCATTTTTTTAACGATATTACTTAAGGTTACAAAAAAAGTTTACGTATTATAATGACAAATAACCCATTTTTCGCTATTAAGTATATACTTATTGGAATAGCTGTATTTATTAATCAGAATATTATTAAATAATGTAGATTTTT